TGTCCCTGACTTGACACTAACTCACACGAACACACACAGGCGACACTCACAATCACGCACAAGCACACTCACACTCACACACACACGCACGCATCATCAGCCCTTCATTCATTCATTCATTCATATACAAACACTCTGGCTTCCGTTTGCCTGCGTCTGAGCTGTTGCCTAACACTGACTGCAATATGTTTGCTTGCCACGCCCACATCAGCTCCAGCATCAGCGGCAAAAGCACCAGCTCCCTTGGCAGCTGCACACGTACACCTCTTTACATACTTACATAGGGTATTTTAAGGAATACTCGACATTCTTAAGCATATTATTTTGATGAAGTTGATTTGCTCATTTTATATAGTTTCCACAATATAAATAAGATAAAGTTTGGTAAGAATGTGTTTCTCAGATTTAAAATAACTTTTGAAAAGTGAATCGAACTGGATCACAGTTTGAGCTGTCATTGAACGTTTCGTTGGACAACTTAGGTATTTAATTAAAAGACTTAATATTTGTCTATTTATCATTTCAACTGTGTGACAATAATGTGAATTTATCATATTTTTTCCGTGTTTTTTGTCATTTATTTTGGATTACTCGCTACATCAATTATCATCTGTACTGATAACAAGTGCGTATATATAACAATACGTATAAGTGCTTAATTTTGAAACTTTTATTTGGTTTTTAAGATTGTTTAATAATTCAGCGCTCGAATCAATTATTGCATATTGTTAATTATTCATGTTAAGTTAACAATCATTTTTGATTGATTCATTAGTAAGTCTGCCAGGGTATCCACTATTCGACTGTCCATAGCCCACTGCTCTTTCTTAATATTTGCTGATGTATGTTTGTGTGCGGGTATGTGTATGTGCATATATTTTTTATCTCATACGTGCAGCAATGTCTGGCCATGTCTTCAAATTTAAATAGGAATAGCATGTTGATGTTATTCGACGTAGGTTTATATTTAATTTAATTTCCGAGTGTAGTGTATGTGCGTGTCTGTGTCTGTGTCCGTGTTTTTCTTCCATAAATACATATGTATTTTAATTTATTTGTATGCAAGCAAGAAGCTTCAACAAACTAACAACATCAGCATACAACAACGGGTAAATCCACTTGACTGCTCTTGAGGCATGCTTCCAAGAGTGCCACTCCCATTACAGACCCAGTGGAAAGTGACTCTCGTTGTAAGCTCTGTAAGGATGCGTGTAAGGCGACACAATGTCGAAGCGAATGCAACAATGTCGACCTCGAATAATGCTGCAGTTTTTGCTTCTTCGTGTTGACACAATACTCTGTTGCGTATACGCACCAGTGGACGGTGTATGCGCACGAAAATCACAGTTTTAGCTAGAGACATAAAGTGCTGCATTGGGATGTAAGCGTGGCAGCAGCAGAAGCAATAGCAGCAGCTTGAGTGCCAACAAGTGTAAGTTGCCTGCTCGGCTGATCAGGTAAGTGCAGATAACAACTCAAGTGGCCTGAGAGCCAGGTGTGTGCTCGTTTGTGTGTGTTTGTGTGTGTGTGTGTGTTGGTGTGTGTGTGTTTGCAAAAACTGTACTTCAGCTTGTGCATGAAATCAAGCAGAATGAGAAACCAATTTGTGTGAAAATACAAAGGCAACAGAGAAGAAATGAAATTGGCCAAAGGGGTGTCGGCCGACTTTGCCTTAAGTTCGCATTGGATTTGGGGTTTCTGGTTTAGGGTTTGGTGTTGGCAAAAACAAACTTTTTAAATCGTTGCAAAGTCAAAAGTAATAAATTGCCAGCCAACTTTTTGTGCCATAAGAACTTGTCACAGGAATTTTAATTCAATTTGACCCACAAAAAAAAAAACCAAAAGATGAATCAAACAAAAAACCTAGCAACATAGCTTTGGTTCATTCAGAGAAAAGCATTCCAAAATTATTTAAACGGAAAAATAGTTAAAGCTCTCCGATGTATATATAGTGGTAGTTTCTCTGTGTGTGTGTGTGTTTGTGTGTGCTTATACTGTTGTGCGGTGCACTCAAATGCTGTACGGTTAACCGGCTTGGGCCAGAGAGACTAACATTATTTGATCCACATAAATGAAGCCCAAAGTCAGTGGGGCATGCAACAGCCAAGTCCTGCGAGTTGCATGTGTGCAGACCAATGCAGCTGTGCGTGTGCTTATGAGCAAGGTGTGTACGTGTGTGAGCAAGGTCGTTTGCCCACTCAATGTGATAGAAGGTGACGGCAACGGCGTCTGTGGCTGTGGCTGTGGCTGCGGCTGCGGCTGAATGTGCGCCGCAGTGGAAATGCACCCGAATAAACACAAAATTTATATGAACACATGGGAACACATGGTCTACTTGCATTCGAACCACCATCTTTCCTTTACTCCATGTCACAAATTTAACTAAATCTGTATTCGTGTGCAGTAACAAAAGCAATAGGGTCGTTCAATGAATTACTTTAGACTTAAATTGGGTTTATGGCTTTAACCCAGTCCAAAAGCTCATTTTCTTTTGCACAATAGATACATATACTGACATAAGCATAGTTGGACTATGAAATAACTATCTGTTATGCACTTAGATAAATAATAAAATCCAATTTAATATTTAGTGAAAGTAGAACATAAATTGAAAATGATATATAATATTCGAAAATACCATTAGAACTGTGAGAACAGTTGGAGTTTCCACTTGAGAATAAATGGAATGAATATACCCAATATGTCCTTGCTTGCAGAATATAAACAAACGGTAGCAGCGGCATTTTACAAATCCATTTACATTTTTCATTTGAGAAAATCATTTTTGCATCTCACATTTTTGTTCACTTTGTCAAAGACAAGACGGGCAGCCGGGGAACTCTCAGAAATAATGTTTTCGGGGTGTAGACTACTGGACAGAAAACACCACCACACACACAGAGAGAGACACAGATACACATTTGGATGACTTTATGTGGCACATCAAGAAGAAAACTTTTTTGGTTGACAAAAAGTACGGTGTCACTTTTATAGAGTACAGTTTTGGCCTGATGTTCGCCAGAGGTCTATCCGGCGAGAGCATTTTGACAAATGCGGCACATGCTGATTGACCTTTGGCATATTAAAGCAACAAAAAAAAAAAAATAAAATGGCCACGTCTTCCACAGGTCACCTACTTACTGAGCTTTCTTTGCAAATGATGCCCACAACTGTCCTCTCTCATTGTGCCTGCTCTGCGTTTTCTGGCTACTTTCAATTTATACCCTATACTCATAAAACATCATCAACATATTGGCATAATACAAGTAAAAAAAATTATGTATTCTCATATATATTGTTGATCAGAGTCAGCGTGTCCTTTGCGCCCAAGAAGCTCGGCTTAAATGTGGGCTTAAGAATTTATGGACTAAGTTTAATTTATTTTTATATATGTGCGATTGCCAATTACTGCGGAAACGTTTGTTAGCTAACCTGAATTGATTGACATAATTTTACAATTTAACATTCTATACACATTTAATTATGGAAGTTCACATTTTTTGTGCACTTCGTTGGACCATTGTTCGTAAAGGGTATCTTCCAGTTAAGCACACTCGACTAGAGCATTTTATCTTGTGTTTTTTTTTCTGCGCTGTTTTGCTCAATGGCCATATAAAACTCAATTGGGTCGTTAAATAAAAAAATTGTGATAAATAATCAAATTACACGCATTTGATGCTTGCCAAGATTTGGCGTTTTTGAATTTTTATGCCAACGAATTTGGGATTATTTGGTGGGATTTCCATTTTTGTGCGCTCGCCTGCTGACGAGGCGCATTATTTATGGCCAGGCGTTGATTTTGGTAAAGCGATTATGAGGCCTGTTAGGCATTTGGATAATGATACGAGAGAGTGGCCCGAGTGGTTCAGGCCAATGAATTCAATTGCGTTTTCAATTATCATTCACATGCCCGGCATTTGTGACAGGCATCCTTGGACCATATTGCGGTCAACTCGTCGCTGTTTAAACGCTTCAAATTTCCAATTAAAACTAACTAATTTCATGCAAATTACCCAAGGTGTGCGAATTTTCTACTGCCAATCATATTCGTGGTGCAAATTTTTTTCTTTTCTTTTTTTTAGCATACAATTTTAAAATCAGCACCATATGACTCAAGTGTGGGTGTGTGTGTCTGTGTTAATGTATGTGTGATGTGGTTTAATGAGGATGTTAGTGGTATTGCCGTTGTTGCTGTCACTTTAACACATTTATGTGCTGCTGCCGTCAACGGCAACGTGTCTGGCGATGCCGTAATGTACTTGATTGGCACTTGTTTCTGCATAGCTATCGAACAGCAACGTTCACTTTCTCCACAAGCCTTTAAAGTGTGCGTGTGCATTGCTTGGTGGTGACAGGTAAAACAATCGACTGTCAAAAGCCATCGCAGTACTCCATGCAATTGCTGCGGTCGATCAGTTTGCCTGGTCTGCCATTTAAGAGGTATCCGTTTAGCAGTTTGTTGTTGAACGGCACATATATATGCATTAAGTTAATGTGGCTGTTGTGCTTAAACTATTTTAATTAGCAGTAAAAAGATCAGCTCTCGAAATGGCTAGCAGCCATCGACCCGTAGACAGGCCTTTGATGTGGTCTTGACATTTGCACTGACAATGCCCGGCTGACATCCAGTATACTCGGGCAGTGCGTCAGCGCTAAAAGCCCACGGGTCCGTGGACTAAGAGCCAGTATCAGCATCAGCAGCAGCAGCAGCATCGGCATCGGCATCAAAATCAAAATCAAAGTCAACGGGGGCCATTGGCGACATTGTCATGGGGGCATGTCAAGGCGTTATTTGATACGCAAGCTGTCAATGCGCTGACAGTTTCCACATTTTTCATAACTCGTTCGTTCGGCCAGTGGCAGTTGCCAGTGGCAGCAGCAAAGTGCCGCACTTTCACTTGCTGTACTAACAGCTTACAACAAGTACTTGTCAAATTTGTCTATTTTGGCGGCTGCATTCCGCATATTGGTCCTCGATCAAAGGTGGGAAACAGTTTTGGCTTGCTCTGTTGCTTGTATTTGTGCTCAATACTTAGCCTATACATTTTTATGTATGGTACATATAAACTTATGAACTAAGTGGATGTGTAACTGAATGTTGAAACTGTGTGCATAAGTGAGTGTGCGATTTTGGTTATTCATTCGTCGCCACAACGCGACTCACAGCTCTTCTGCGTGCAGAAGCGATTCCGATTTCCATTGCAACCCTTGTAGGTGAATGGGCGGCAGGCGCCCTTGTCGTAGTACCAGCGGGTCAGGGTCCTTGTCTGGTCCTTGCTGCTGCAGTAATTTCCCTCGTTGCGGCCCACATAGCAGTTGACATTATCTGCAAATGTCGCAAAAGGAACTTGCTGTTTAATTAAGCAATTAATTGGTTAATCGACTCCTTCAAGTGCTTATAAATGATGCATTATTTCAACGCTTCAATGACTATTCCAACCAAATGGGCCCATTTGGTGCAATTAAAATTGATTTCCCTAGGAATAAGCAACATATTTGCTCTTACAATTTTGGCAAAATAGTGCACAAGTCAAAGCCAACTGACAATAATTTTGGCAGTGATTCCTAACCACAATTGCGTCGAAAATTTTAAGCGTGTAACAGAAATTAGGTGGAACAATGTTTATTTTCAAAAGATTTCCAAAAATTGTTCACAGCGTATCGTTAGCTATAGCAAATAGAGTGCTGATTTGAAATATTATTTTAACTTTTAGTTTTGGCAGTGTTTAGATTAAACGCTATTAAAATCAAAATTAACATAAAACTCAAATCTCTTGTTATTTCTCACAAAATGTTATTACAATGGATAACAAAATTCCACGGAACGTATATTATAGAATAATAAAAATTATAATTGACAAATATTTTAACGGTATTTTCTCAAAATTAAATGCACGGAATTTATGAGCAATTTTGTACATTAATTACTTTTAAATGTCATCTGCCTTAATGTCTAATTTCTAAATAGATAATAGAATACAATAAAGGCAACATCAACATGGTCTCGTTGTGAATACCACGCAATGGAATGAATATTTTAATGACTAATCCACATACCACAAAGTAGTCAATGTTATTTATAGAATTATGTAATTTTTTTTTTTGCAAATAGACGTCAGCATAAAACTCATTATTGGAATTTATAGTTGAATTTCAAAATTGCCGGTAATCATTATACTTTGCATGGGGTCTATTTAATGGTATTTTTAGACAATAATTATGTTCTTAACGTACTTAGCTCTTTGCATGCGGCGTCTCCAGATCCAACTGCCTCAATTTCCACAGTATGAGTCAACAGTATGACAGAGATGAGGCAGACAAGTGCCAGAGACAGGAACGTCAAATTGAATTTCAAATTCATTTTTTTCTTTTCACACCAAACACCTCACAGCGAAAAGTAGCAGAATGCAACCAAACGAAGATCGACAAGAGAAATCTACTTGACTGTATACGGATTTTGGTGGCTATTCCAATGGTTTCGTCGTATATTTTTAAGTACTTTGCGCCACTTTGACAATAGCCGCGACGTGGACCGACGAGTCGAGTGAACTGAAGACTGTCTGGGACATACTTTTAGTTTATATGCGAAATGCCGGAAATTTTGACGATATTTTGGCCCGAACTCACAACGAGCATGTGGCTGGTCCCATTCTCGTGATACTTTTGTGGTTTACATTTTTTTGTTGCTTCGAAAATTCGAAAATACTTTGAGCAATTGTCCATCTGGCCAGCCATTCATCCATTCACCCATGCATCCATCCATCAATCCATCCATCAATCTAGCCACTCGTGCAATCGCCCAAGCGCTTTGTGTCCATACATGCTAAGAAGGGGCGGCTATTTTCGGTCCACAAATATATTTTGCGGGGCCCGGCAATTGCACTTAGCGTTATCTAGAGGCGTTTACTTTGCGCTCGTTTGCATAATTTCCAACTTATTGAATATATTCCACATAATTAATTTTAATTATTTGTGTTCTCTCTTTTTTGCAATCATTTGAATTAATTTTGATAAGATAAGAAAAGGCCAAAGGGTCGGCCGGTCTCTCGGTCTCTCTGTCTCTCAGTCGACTGTCAACTGTCGACTGTCGACCCAGTCAAGGGTTCATTTCCATTGTCTCTAATTACAATTGGGCGGCATTTGTTTTATATTTTTCAGTGTCACACCCTTTTACATAGTACCCATTTGACAAGTGATCGCCCTTTGCTTCAAGTCAAGGGGCACTCGCAAAAATCAATCTTCATTTTAGATTCAATTTAAATTTTCAAAAGTATTTGATTTGCTGGGGGTCGAATCAAAAATAAAATATATATATCTCGACGGTGGATGTATTTCTGCAAAATGTCGATTAAATTTTGCACATCACAAATGGGGGAAAATTACGCGACACTTAATCAGAACCTTACTTAAGATTAAGGGATATACACATGTACCAAAAAGACGCTTAATGCGCATCGAAATGTCCTTAAATAAGAGATTGATGTGCCAGGTTGATAAAAATATGTACATAGTCTGTGTCAAAGTGATTTCAGTCTGCAAAAGAAATTTCCAGTCCATTGAAGTCAGCGCTGTGCCTGAAATTTTGGTACTACACGTTGTACGATTAATTGGCAAGTGCAATCACCAGAAAAGTACTAATGAATGAATATATTTCGCGCAAAGACAACCATTAATGAAACTGTCACACAATCACGCGAAAGCCAGTTTGCCAGCAGTTGTCATTGGCACACGAGAAATCAGGGCATGCCTTATATTTGCAGTCGTTGGACAAAATGCCAACATACATTTTAATTGGACGCTCTGCATTTAAAAGGTTCTCGTTTGGCGAAATTTATCAGGAAAAGCAAAAATTGTAAAAGGATGCAGCAACCACCAAAATGGAAGTCTTAACGAAAAACCCGGCTGAGGTATACAAACTCAATCAAGTGAATGGAGCTGTCATGCTGACAAGCACCAAAGCTGATCAAAGCACTAGCCAGCAGCGAACAGCGGTAAATGAGTTGACATATATATGATGTATCAGTGACAGCAAATCAATATATACTTAAATGCATGAGCCGCATCCAGTCGATATTATTTGGCAAGAGATAGCTTTTGACTATTACATACTATGAATATTACAACTTAAGCAAGGTAATTAAATTGCAAGTCTTTTGCTTTTAAATAAGCAATATTCCTTAAAGGTATTTATCAAATATTTTGCATTGACTCGTCAACAAAATTGACCAGTTGATAAATACCGAGACGATTTAACGAATGGAAGGACACTTCATAATTCCAATACATAATTGGTCTTGGAGGATACAAAAAAAGAAAAGAAAAAACAAGGATGAAAAACAAAGCAACCGTTGATTTCAGCGTTTCCTTTAGCCGACTCCGTAATACAATGTTGTAACTTATGATTTTCCACTTGTTTTGACAATTTGGCGATTTCTGATTTTTACGTCTTTAAATTTAACGGGCATTTTCAACGCAGTCGACCAAAAGTTATTTTTAATGGCTGCACTTGAACGTGCCGAAAGGCGATGCGAGTTCAAAGCATATTTTCGCTGACTACATCCATAATATTAAGCAGTAAAGGTATGCGAAACAGGAACAGGTTCAAGCTCTGGACTCATTGGTTACACAAATACAGAAAATCTTTAATTTTGTGATATGCGGCGATTCTTTATTATTCTGTTTAAGTTTTTACTTTATTTTTTTCATCTTATTATTTTAAAATTCTTGTTGAATTGCTTTTTATATTTTTGTGACTCTTTTCGACTTTTGGGTTTTCCTTGACAATGCCGCAAATTGAGGAAATGAATCATTTGAATGATTGACTTCCGGCTCTTAGCCACTGCAGTTGTCAATCGAAGTGAAAGTAGTTTCTTTTTTTGTTTAATTTCAAATGCTTAACTAACTAAAAAAGTGTTGCATTTTTTGATGGGGTATGTGTGTAGCATTTATTCAACAATTTTTAAAATATGGAATTAGGTGACACATTTTACAGCAGACTTTGACTATTGAAGCTGCAAATACTTATTATTGATTCCAATGGGTTGGAATGGCCAAACGGCTGGCACTTCCTTACGAAACATTGGCATAGTGACAATGAAATCTGTCGACACTGCCAAACAGCAATTGAGCCCGAGGTGCTGGAGGCCGACTTGCGGCAGTGTGTTCGCTCTGCTTTAGTAGAAATTTTACAATTTGCAATAAAAATTCCAGTTTTGCTTTTTGGAATTCAGTTTGTGCTTGTCTCTGCCTCTGCTCCGATCAAGTGCTGCGCCAGCTTAGCGGTCTGCGTGCTCGGGCTTCTGCTGTGTCCTTGTGCAGCAGAGAAAGTAGCCCGTTATCCAGCAGCTCGCCGAAGCTGGAAACTTGATGCGGCTACCCAAGCTTTCAGCTAGAAAATTATTATGCGTCGTGGAGACCGCACTGGTAGAGAAAGGCGTGCCAACGAACAATTTAATAACAAAACATATTTCACTTGCATGCCAAAGTTGTTAAGGAATGCGCTGCAAACAAAATCGAATGTGCTTAACTCATCCATGTAGCATTGTGCACTGGGAGCACAATACAATACAAAACATATACATACATATATTATTTTAAAGCCTTGACATTTGCTAAGCCAAAAGGACTTCTTGGCCCATTGCGAGTTATGTATGTGTGTATGTTGCTTGCTTGGGTTCACCCAGGATAGCCAATGTCATGTTGAACTCGCTCATTTCCGACTCAAATGGATTTTGATTGTCTGCCCGGGCCTCCTACCGTCGCCTGACTTCCCCATCTCATCAGTCAGAGCCTGTGATGGTTGGAACGTGTCTGCCATTTGTCTGCACACTCGTTTGGCAGCCGCCACCAAATGACTTTCTTTTCTTAGCCGTTGGCAGTTGGCCCTTTACTGGCTGGCTGTTCGCTGTTGCTTTGGGGCCATTACGTTTTATTGTAATGATTTCTATTACCACACTGAATTCTCCTACTGCTGTTGTTGCCACTCTGCCACTGCCACTCAGCCACTACCACTGTGCCACTGCTACTGCTGGTATTCTTGTTGTTGTTGTTGCTGTTGCTGCATGTTGCAGTTGGCACTTGGCAGCTTACGTGGCCATCGCGCTTAATGAGTAGTTATTTCCGATTGTATATCTTGATAATGCCAAGTCGTGCGAACATCGGCTTTTGTGGTAATCGGCCTTGTTCCGAGACACGTTCCCATATTAATTGCTCTTTATTTCCGCTGTGACATAAATTCATTAGCATGAATGCTTTCTAATTAAATTTATGCATATTTTATTTGCCTTTCTACACAGCACTTGGCCATATTTACGACACACTTACATATTTTTATAAATAGACTTTGCATAAATACTGACTTTCGGTTTTTTATATTTTACGCTGTGTTGAGTGCGTCGTATTTATGAATTTATTCTCGCAGCTGTCACAACAGAGATAATATAATAAGACCGAATTGGGAGAAAATCGACAACAAAATTATGTTGGCTCTTCATTTGTCTTTTCTTTTTTTTTTTTGCTTTCTCTAAGTTCTTAAATAAATACATAATTAAATAGCATTATGCTTTTTGGATGGACTGGCTATTATCGCGAAAATCTCTGTTAATCTGCGGGTTTTCGCTCTTCTCGGGGTTTTTTTCTTCTTAAGATTATAATGGTATACATGAATTATATTAAAAGCATACACTTGTGTAATATAATTCCATTACAGACGCCACTAATGAGTAGAATCACGTATTTACTTGTCATTCGCACAGCTCCTTATTTGCAATTAGTTCCGCAACCTCCAATTTTAATAGCTCTTCTCGCAGATGGCGCGCTCCTCTTTTATGTGGTTTCGCACAACACTTTCCCAACAGCGAGCGCAAATATAGTTGATGCTTCTGCATATCACCTACCCGTTGTGCCACCAAACCACCACCTAAACAGGCTCAGGCACGATTCTCTGTGTGTTGCCCCCCTCAACTCGTGCCACATGCTGATGATTATCAATTTGCGAGATTCGATTGCTGTATCAAATCGCTTAACTGACTGACAAGAGAAATGGAATTCAGCCACAGACAGACAGTGGTTCAAGAGTCTATGAAAATGTAACTCACATTTTTAATAGAAATAATTACCAACTATTTATTGTAATCAATATCTTTTAGCATTCTAAATAATGTAAATTTGCTTACGCAAATGCTATTAGTTCGAATCGAAATTGTTGTTTGCTTTTTAATTGCATTTCTACAAACTTTTCTGACTTTAAGCTCCTAAAGAAACGAAAGTTGAAGATGAATTGATGGAAAATGGGAGTTATTTATTATTTATTATCATTATTATTATTATTTTTGCAAATGTAAATCCAAATATTTTTTTTTTATGGCTGGGTAGGAATTTTTGAAACACTGTACGGCACTCCACATGCGCTGAAGCAAATAGAATTTGCAAACAATCACATGTAAAGTGAAGTCGCTTTTGCATTCAAATACTCGTTTCAACCTCCAAATAGGGGAAGCCGCTAGAGCGCTTGTTTGCCTTTAAAGATTAATGTAACCGCAAAGTAT